CCCCCCTCCCCCCCCCCCCCCCTTACAGACTCGTCAGCGCTTCGGTTTCATTGATTTCAGGTTGGGTAACCACGTACCTACTCGTCAGTTTTCGGAACGCTCCGCGATCTTTCGCCGTACGGATTTCCGCAATCCTGTTTCAATAACTCCGTGCAAGGGAGGGTCGTCCGATAAAGAATCGAACATCATATCATAAGTACTTCCCTGAGGACGAAACCCGGTGTTCGCTCGCAGTAAACAGGGCAAGCGAAGTGCCGAGCCACCAAGCGAACAACACACACTCTGCGCCACCCTTGGGGGGGAGGAGGTCCCACTAGCAAGGAGGAGTGGATTGAATGGAATGCATGAATCTGGAAGTAATTGCGGAGAACTGCGCACCAAATCGAGATCGAACTGATTTGCTGCATCTTTGCACAAGACACATCCAGATTCAGGCGCTTAATTGAATCCTCTAATCCAATCCTCTTTTTTGCTAGTGGGACCTCAGGCCTTTTGGAGAAGAGCCCTACAAGCTGCAGGCAATGTACAAGCATGCACAGGGAAAAGGTGCAGAAAAAAAAAAAAGAAAAAAAAAAAACGCGGAATGCACTCGTTGTCATCGTGATGATCATTAGATCCGTAGCAGATCTGCGCCGTTGGCTTTCGGTGGTTGTGTTTTTTAAACTTTTTTTAGTTTTGTTTCCCCCATAAATACCAAGGTTTTTAGCACGCGCAAAGCGTTGGGACCACCACCATTTACTGTGTTGTTGTTTTGAATGTTTTCAAACTTTTTACCGTGATTATTATATTTTAAAAAAAAAAACAAAGTGTTCAGCGAGCACTGCCTTGTGTTTGTTTTTTTTTTCCTTCTACCATTTACGATTCTATATGGGCCTAGCTCCACTGGACACCGTTCCAAATGTATCTGGATTTCACGACCATCCCAATACCTTCACAATGTTTGATCAGTCCAAGAGTGTCCGGTCGGTCGCTCAGTCGAGATACAGACGGCATGTTGAAGAATGGAGGGAGGCTGTGTGACAAAACAGATGGAACGAACGCATTAATTTTATTACTATCATAATAGTATCATTGCCAATTTAGTATTCTTTCGAATTTCAGAAGCAACGAGGTCCTCGTGGAGGATTCTTTCTTTCTTTCTTTCTTTCTTATAATGGCGACGGCCTTGAGGCATCACTCTCAAACTGACCAGCCCGAGAGAATTCACAAATTTGATCCACCTACGTCCAGCTGGATTCGAACCTGGGTCTGTATGTCAACAGACCCATGGGTGTACCAATGGAGCCAAGGACCATTGGTTCAAGGAGGACGTTGGAAATATACAGAAAAAATATACGAGGTGCAATACAGACCCGAGTTCGAGTCTCAGGGCATTGGAGCAAAATACAGACCCAAGATCAACAGGTTGCAATGCAGACCTGGGTTCGAATCTCGGGTTTGTATTTCAGAACTCGGGTCTGTATTTCAACAGATCCCTCAGTCTAGGTCCCATTTGCACGGAGAGAGAGAGAGAGAGAGAGAGAGAGAGAGAGAGAGAGAGAGACCAGAGACCAGAAAGTGGAAGTGAGACCTCGCCCCTGCTGAAGGACGGCAGGCACAAATTGAGAACTCTTTAAAATTAAAGAAAGAAAAGGATTTTAAAAATTTAATAACTAAATCAAAAAATCCACCTTCCTGTATCTGGCTGAAGTGAACCAATTTTGAACGCATTCCTCCCACCAGTTACTGTCTTTACCCGAAAGATCACCCCGTCGTTGTAGCTGTATTTGGGGCAGCTTTCAGTCTAGATGCAGAGTTAATATAGGCATTCTATTTGGGCGAAGAAGGTTAGTTGCTATTTGGGTGAAGACAGTAGTTACGATGGACCAGATGGTGTCATTTACCGTTTTGCCCCCCTGATTCACCCGGATTTTCAACACATTCTACCAGAGACAGGGAATACTCAGTCTCACACTAAGCTCTGGACGTGATTGCAGCCAAATTCATCCCGGTTTGGAGTCTTTGAACTTGGTTGCAGTTAGATACATTTAGGAATTTTGGGAAAGTGGTAGAAAGAGTATGCCCTCTCGTTGCAATGCTCTATATTACTAAAGTAGTTATGGGAGCGATATGGACTGAGGGCAGACGCACACTACCATCTTCACCCGAATAGAACGCCCGGTCATTATACCTGTATCGGGACTGAAAATTGCACCAAATACGGATATAATGACCGGGTGTTCTATTCGGGTGAAGACGGTAAGACTTTTTCGACTCAGCTCTGAACGTGATTGCAGTCAGATGCATCCAGGCCCGGACGTAATTGCTGTCAGATTCATTATGGGGGTAATCATGACTCAGCTCTGGACGTGATCATCATGCTGTGCATATCGCACGAGTCAACGCACCTGTTCACAAGCGACGACCAGCAACATAGACGGACCAAAGCCCTCTCCGTAAACCATACATGCAGCGCACCACGTGCACGCAAGTTGCGCACGTGCGCCGTGCGTACCTCATGCGGCACATTTACAAAAAAAAAAAAAAAAAAAAAAAAAAAATCAAGACGGGCGGGCTGTTGGAACCAAATCTGTCCCTCCCTTTCGAAAACTGTTAGTGCACAGAAAAAGAAAAGAAAAGAAAAGAAAAATTGGGGCCACGTCGTACTACTCGTTGGATCTATTCTCTTTTCCAAAAGGTCCCCTGCAAAGAATCAGCAGGCTTCCCATGCATTTGGAAGAACGTTCATCGAACTCCTGGAAGACGACAAGCAGGCCAGTAATCCAGCAATATATCCTGGACTCAGATTCAGGTCTGTGTTCCAATAGTTATGGGTTACGAAAGTACTACATAAAACACTACAGTAGCTGTCTCATTCTTTCTTTTTCATTTTTCCTTTTACTTACGTGCAGTGGCCCTAAGTGCCTCGCTCCACTCGTCAGCACTTGCACAAAAGAAAAACATCCGACTTGTATGGTTCCAGTCCAGTTTCTAGAAGAAGATTCATTTTAGTTTTGCCCATTTGGTGAGTAGTGGAGTGAAGCCCTGAAAATCACATGCCCAGTTAGTAAGTCAGTAACCCATAACTGCTGAAACACAAACCTGAAAAGAAAAAAAAAGAAAAAAGAAAAAAAAAAACGTATATAGCTGGCCTGCTCCCTCATTACTAGAAGTCCAGTGACCACCCTTCTCCTGCCGACGGCACCCTTGCCAATTTAAGGGAGGGGGACCTTTTGAAGTACCGCCAGGGGTTGTCTGAATAACACGAAAGGGCTCTTTGCTCTCTCTCTCTCTCTCTCTCTCTCTCTCTCTCTCTCTCTCTCTCTCTCTCTCTCTCTCTCTCTCCAGCGAGTATACAGACATCACGGTTGCTTCTCTTTTTTTTTTTTTTTTTTTTTTTTTTTGTCCGCGCATCGACGATCAGCGCACCGCGCACCGCACTGCACAGCGCACTTCAGCTATACGCCGCAAGTATGCTGTAAACATATGTAAAGTGGATAAATATTAAATATTAATTTATTAAATGTGAATGCTGGAAAAGAAAACAGAAAGAGCAACAAAATTCAGGACGTTTAAAAAAAAAAGAAAAAACGCCACAAAGAACAAGAAAATCGACCAAAAAAAAAAAGGTGTGAATGGTGGAATAGGAACCGGACTGATGCTCCCCAAAGGCCCTGTTTTTTTTTCTTTTTAAGAAAAAAGAAAACCTCCTGTAGGAAAAAAAAAAGAGCCCTTTAGAATTACTATAATATGTAGTATGTACAGATGGGCTGCTTAATATCCTGTGCAGAAAGTACATCAACAGTTAGAAAAAAAAAAAAAAAAATACTCTCCTCCCCCCCATCCCCCTCTCTAGGCAGCAATCCATACGACTTCCAAAGGGAAAAGGAAAGTAAGAAAACGAAAGTTAATAGTTATCACATTTTTTTTCCCTGTCCAAGTGCCAATTCCCTTGTGATTTAATAACCCGCTCCCATATGCCTTGCTGTTGTCTAGGCAGCCACCCACAGGCCAACTCCTGTCTACGGCCCGCCAACGGCCTACGACCGTGCCGCCGACCAGGGGGACACAGCCCCTGAAATGGCTTCCGGGGCCCTGCGCAGGCCTGGTCGACTCAGACGTCGACAGTAGACTAAAGTCAACTGTACGGTGGCCCGCGAGTCAAAGTCTGCATGGACCCAGCCCCAGCCACAGGTCAAACACACACACTTGTCTGTACGCAGGTATCCAGACAGCATTCGGACCAAGTGCAAGTCTGTAACTGCACGAGCTCCAGGCCGTCGGCTGTGAGTCAATCTGAGCCTCGGTGGGTGAGGGACCAGATGCAGGTCAACCTCGTCAACACTACCTATTGACCCTGCCTCCGGGAGTAAACATTCAGTCTTGCCGTGCTGACTTGACGCTGGCTGGATGCTGGCTCGACGCTGGTGTGACGCTGCTGCGATGCTGGCACTCTGGGATGATGACGCGAGACTGCTACACTGCGTGCTGGCGCCTCCCTGCTCTGGCGCCAGCTGGCTACTTGCTTGCGGACGTGGTGAATGCCACGCTGTCTTCGACATTGCTGATGAAGTGCATGCCACCCTGTCTACCTTGTTGACATGGCATTTGCCACGCCATCTTCATTGTTGATTGGGACGCGACAAGGAGGGAGATCGGGATCTGTGGATTGATTGAGAGAGAGAGAGAGAGAGAGAGAGAGAGAGAGAGAGAGAGAGAGAGAGAGAGGAGACTTACCTGTTGCTGATGTCGACATTGTGCGCTGTTGTGACGTCTTCATGGGAGAACTGTGGCACGTGGCACTCTGATGTGATCAGACCTTGTCAGGCTCTTTTCTTGAACAGTTTGGTGACGTGGAGGAGAGGGGAGGCCCGGAGAAGGAGAGCGGAACGAGGGGCTTCTACCTATGTGGTCATTGATGGATACTTAGTACTTACTCTTCCACCCTCTAAGTATATTCCCCGCCACCTCTCCTTCGTCTACTGCTTACGAGACATTGTATCACAGATCACATTTCACGATTATTGGAGACATTGATCAGCGCTGAGTTATCTTGTACTTCGACTCCAAACGAGTTTGTTTCCCCCTCCAGACTGGGTTCATTACAGTGAATTCCAAGACACTTTGCATGCCTGCAGGAATTGCAGAGCAGTCAAACAGGAAGAAGACAAAAAAAACAAGGAAAAAAAAAAAAAAGAAAAAAAAAAAAA